AAAGATATTATGTGTCATGATTATGTTAATTGGTCTTAAAAGATTGATGAAACATTTATTCCAATAGTATTAAGAAATCAGGAAGTTTTGTTCAGATGCTGTCCTGAAGAGAAAAATTAAAGTAGCATGGCAAACTGTTTTGTTCTATTGATGTTTTAATTGTATATTCATAGTTTATTTTTTGATGAATTGCACAATTTGAATCAATAATTTGTATACTTTATGCATAATGGGTACATGATTTGGAGCAGAACTTACTGTTTTTATTGTTTAAGGCAAGATAATTTCTGTAAAATATGGATGGATAAGAGGGCTGGCTTTATGTTGTAGGCTAGAACAAAGATATTTTTTTTATCATACCCCTGCTACTGGATGCAGGGGTATACTGTTTGACCACTGACTGTCTGTCCATTTGTGTGTTGGTCTGTCCCATTATTTCAATTTTACATTTTTCTCAGGAACTACAAATCAGAGGTTCCTGAAATTTGATATCAAGCTTCATGCGAGCATGTTATACCTTTTTGTTATGTTCTCTTATACATTGCTCATCAACTACCTTTTTGTTTGTTCTCCTAAACATTGCTCATCAACTACCTTTTTGTTTGTTCTCTTATACATTGCTCATCAACTAACTTTTTGTATGTTCTCTTATACATTGCTCATCAACTACCTTTTTGTTATGTTCTCTTATACATTGCTCATCAACTAACTTTTTGTTTGTTCTCTTATACATAGCTCATCAACAACCTTTTTTTATGTTCTCTTATACATTGCTCATCAACTAACTTTTTGTTATGTTCTCTTATACATTGCTCATCAACTACCTTTTTGTTTGTTCTCCTAAACATTGCTCATCAACTACCTTTTTGTTTGTTCTCTTATACATTGCTCATCAACTAACTTTTTGTTTGTTCTCTTATACATTGCTCATCAACTACCTTTTTGTTTTGTTCTCTTATATATTGCTCATCAACTAACTTGTTGTTTGTTCTCTTATACATAGCTCATCAACTACCTTTTTGTTATGTTCTCTTATACATTGCTCATCAACTAACTTTTTGTTATGTTCTCTTATACATTGCTCATCAACTAACTTTTTGTTTGTTCTCTTATACATTGCTCATCAACTACCTTTTTGCTTGATACTTATAGCTGGGTTATCATTAGTGAGCAATAGCTCACAGTTCAACTTGTTTTTAATGAAATAGATCACATCTCTGAATTTCTTCACCACGCTACAAGTATATCATCATCACAAACAGGTTAAGACCCATTTGGTTAATGTTCTCTGAAGTGATATGGTTACAAAGTACATTATTGAAGTCTTCAAACTCCCCCTGAAAGATTTGATGTTCAGGTGTATGGCTTTTATATCATAACAATTCAAATCTATGGCATAAAAAGGGTTATTTTTATTTTGATTACAATACCAGATCTTGTTTTACAATTGAACAGAGAGGCTTAGTATTTAAAGTACTATACACATCAATAAAACTGGATTATGAAGACAATTTAAAAACTGATGGGCAAACTTTGCATTCACTTTCCAATGACTTTCATTGAAATTTTATAGTATTAAGCTGATCTTAACAAGTTTGAAGAATTCTATTTTTTACTGAAAATTTTATCATTACATGTCAAAGTGTAAAAAGCATATTAAACAACAGATTAAATGTTCTGGTATTTGGAAATACAGAGAAAAAAAGAAGCAAAATTTGAACCAATCAATGGTCAGCAAAATAAAAGTACACAATTCTTATTTGCATAATCCTGTTAGGATGTATGATGGTGCAAGGCATAACATGACAGAACTATACTAAAAATATCCTAATCTGGATAAAGTCAAGTAATCAATTACAAATAAACATATTTCTTAACCAGCTGTGTTTGTTCTAAAATATTACATGTAATACCAACATCAATATAGTTATAAAACTTCTTTTGTTTCTTCCACATGGATAACTGGAATCTTGAAAATCTTTTGGTAATATACTCTTGTTTTCAATCTTATTTCATTTTTGTGCATTTGTACATGTTAATATGGTGTAAAAATTGGTATCAATCTTGAAACAAATCCTACTCTATTATAACACGGTATTATAGTTACAGAAGTAGGTCTCTCTAGACAGGGTAAGTAATTGTAGTTACAGATACATAATCTTTTGGGGTAAAATTACGTTTAAAAGACATTGTTTTTTTCTTTTGGAAAATTATATTCTGAAGACAAATGGACCAGCAATGCAAAAAAATTATATTACATGCATATATTTCTCTGGAGGGTACTGACTTATGATCTTTTACTAGATAAATTAATCCATAAATAGAATGGTGTCCTTTTTCAGACTTCAGGGGGAAAATAAGCTTTTTCTTCAGACATGGTAAACTAATTCCCTCACAGAAAAGTGTCTTCTTTATATAAATAAAATTTATTGATGGAACAAACGGATATTTCATTCAAATATGGAATATAGGAGAAAAAATTACTCAAGATACAGCCAGGTTTTCCATGTAGACATCTCGTTTGAATTGTTTTACATTGTCATTTCGGGGCCTTTTATAGCTGACTGTGTGGTATGGGCTTTACTCATTGTTGAAGGCCGTATGGTGACCTATAGTTGTTAATTTCTGTGTTATTTGGTCTCTTGTGGAGAGTTGTCTCATTGGCAATCATACCACATCTTCTTTTTTATATCAGAATTATTCTTAGAACAAAGTGGGGTTTTCTGCAAAGAAATAATAGCCATTAATCCCAAACAGACAGGATTTACTCTAGGAGCAAATGGATGTTTTTTTTTCATATTGGATAAATTTATCAACTGTTAGCAGTCATTGTTCCATGAAAACAGAGAATAATTTTTTCTTGAAACAAAGAGGTGTTTTCTACAGACCAATAACAGACAGACCTTCCATATAGATATGGGGATTCAACTAGGAAAAAATTGATGTTTTCTTCAGAAAGGGTAAACAACACCACTAGCAGTCAGCTGTTCTGTATCATAGACCAAGATATTGCTAGGAACAAAAGGAAAATTGTTCAGACCACTAAGAGGCATTCTATGTTCCACAAAGACATAGGAACTACTCTGGAACAATAGGATGCTGTCTTCTTAAATAAATTACTTCACTATCAGCCAGTTGTTTTATGTATACTGGGGAACTACTACAAGAACAAGTGGTCTATTCACATACATGTATATGGTTAGTTAATCCACTTACACATTATTCAATGTAGACACTAACATCCAGATATTTAACATAGACAGAGGCATCACTGAGTGAACAAATAGATGTTTTCTTCAGAAGGAGGAAATACTTCATTAATACAACAGACATTTCATGTAGATGGGAGTTTTACAATAGGAAAAAGGATTGTAAACTTCAGACAGGTTAAATTAGTCCATTGGCAGCTAGATAATCCACATAGACAGGGAAATTACTTTAGGATCACAGGCATATGTTTCCTTCAGAAGGGGTAAATTATTCTAGGAACACAGGCATATGTTTCCTTCAGAAGGGGTATATTACTCCTATAACCATACATTTCCTGGAGATAAGAGAATTATTCCAGGAATAAACAATTGTTTTCTTAAGACAGGGTATTTAGTCCATTGGCAGCCAGATGTTTCACATAGACAGTAGAATTTTTCTGAGAACGAAGAATGCTTTCCTCAGAAAGGGTTTAGTACTATAACCAGACATTTCATGGAGATCAGAGAATTACTCCAGGAAAAAAGGATTGTATTCTTCAGACAGGATAAATTACTCCAGATGTCAGACATAGACAGATGAATTACTCTAGGAACAATAAATGTTTTCTTCAGAAGGGGTAAATTACCCCTTAAACCACTGTCAGAACATTTAATGAAGATGAGACAATGAGACCATTAGAATATTTAATTTATTCTTACTTGTTATGCATTGAAATTTATTGTGCATTTTCTTCACTTAGATTTTTTACATTACTTCTTATAACATGATCAAAGAACTTAACCTCTACTTGTGTTGTTTCTTTGGTCTACTTGTGTTGTTATGTTGCTGTCTTGTTTATTTTGTCCCCATCTTCTGTTACTCATAACAACTAGGTTCATCTGATTTGCACAAAAAAAAAAGAAGAATTTTGACCTTAAAAAATGAAAAGAGACGTGACATAACTTTGTTTGTCGCCCATGGTTTCCGTTCTATTGTAAAAAATGTAACTTTTTCTCAATTCAAATCACCAATTGTGAACCTGTTTTATCTTTTAAACTATTAAAACCACCACACAATCAACAAAGAATATGTGGTTTGTCTGCTATTTTGATTTAAAAGGGATTTAAATTTGTGCTCATTGAAAATCGCAGACATTTAACCATTGTCGTAACCCGTCGATGAAGTAACAACATGATCTTAAGGTCATCTTTTCAATTTGTTTGAACAAAAGTAATGCTGTATAAACTTGGTATGTTTAAATGTTACCGATTACCTAATATATAACATTTAAATTTCATTGGATTAGACATTTCAGAAAATTATAGTATTTTTCAATTTTGATAAATCATTCAATTTTTTTTGGCAATTTGTCATCATTTTGTGGCTTTAAGTAATATTTAGAAATAAACTTGTGTCATATCACAAATTTTTCGTTCTTTTATTGATATGTGATACGTCAAAATATTTTTATATTGTTGAACATTGTTCCAAATTTAAAATCTATATAATGTCTTTCATCAAACATATATTTTGCAGATAGATCAAATATAAGGTGTCAAAATTTGTGGTTTATGCTGAGTATGATTAAGATATTTAAAACAGTAGGTCGATTTAATTGTAATTTCAGAATTTTTATCATGACAGAGATTTTTTTATTGACTTTTTTTTTTGCTGAATTGCAGAAGAGAACAAGCCAAAGATAGAATTTTATTCTCACTAGAGGCATGTGTTAATAGATTTTATGATTCCATTAATAGCCAAGATTACTTTTAAGTGGTCTCTTAGTTAGACTTTTTATTCTTTTTTTACAGGGAAGATTCTGTATATGTTGTTTTAGTCCAGAAGTGAAGAAATCAGAAGTAAAGGTAATTTTGAATATATAAAGGTTTGAATCAATCTATTGCAAGTAATTGTTGTAAAGTTGGTTAATCCGTATGATAAGGGGTAGAAAGTATTTGTAAATACAATCCCAACTTAAAGTTGATGCACTGCAATTTACGGCCTTGAACGATTAGAGATCTATAACTGATATCATAAACTGCCTATACATATGACTAGTACTTTAACTTCGGCAGTAGTGTTATAGATCATGCATCAGTTATGTGCAAAAATGACACGTTGCACGTTGATCAAATGGAATGAATTAATTCATGACACAAATTGACACTACAGACAGTTGAAAAAACCAAATATACAGCACTTCTATTGCTGTTCTCCATCTCAAGGGCACAGTTAGACCTTCAACATGGAGCCAAAGCTCACAGTTGATACAATTTTTAGCTAAGTATGACAAAGTTGAACTCCGTTAATTGGTTGTCATCATGATTTCTGGGCTTCTGGATGTCTAGGAATCTAGACATCAACATTTTTTGTTTCTAGACCGAATCTTGGGAGTCAGATTGAATATCTTAACCATCTTTGGCTTGATAATGCCCCATGGGAAGAGGAAACTCCGTGTTGATTTTCAGGGTCTAAGAGTCAAAGGTCAAGGTCACAGCTGTTGATGGACTAAAATTTGGAGAGAGAGAAAATGGTTTCTGAATGTTAACTTTAACCATATGTCCATCTTTTACCAAACTTGTTTAGTTGATGCCTCTTTGGATGGAATGAATCCATAATGATTTTGGGGTCAGTAGATCAAGGTCACGTGAACTATTATTAAATGAAAATTGGTCAAAAGCTTGGCTTTCACATGCTGTCTTTTAAGCTATATATCACTTTTACAAAATTTGATTTCGGTAATGTCTGACTAAAATGTTAGTACATGACACATCTCTGATCTTAAAAGAATTGCTCTATTTTGATATATGAGTGGTATAAAATTCCTAGAGCCTCTGGGTTCTTGTAGAAGCAGCTTGTATTTGTTTTGTAATGATTAAAAGGTTTTTACACCTTTCAGTAACAATGTTTCAGTGGGCAATTTGACCTTTGACTTTATAAAAGGTGTTCCAGTGTATGTATTAACGATAGTCTCTCTTCCCTCACAGAAAAATTGTATTTTCAGTATTACATCCAATTTGTATTGCCTTATAGGCAGCTATTGGATCTTATTGACATTTATCTGTTGGTTGAAATACTGAGTATATTACATAAAATATGTCCTATCTTTCTCAACATATCATTTTTCTTTTAAATGAACATCTGTGATTTATAAGAACACATTTAATGATAAATGACAGCTTGCATATTGTTTATGAATGGTACAGGGTGATTTTTTCTTGACAATTAGTACCTTGCTTTGCTTCCCTTATACATGCACCACAAGATGTGACAGATTCACAGTGGAAATAATGTAACCTCTTTACTGCTAAATGCAGAAGAAAAAAATATACATTCTTCTTTCTTTTTTCCTTTTTAAAGATACGATTGTTTCTTTTTTAAGCCCTCAACCCTAGGGGAAGGGGGCATCAAGTATTACCCTTGTCCATCTGTATGTATGTCCCAAAATTGGTTTCCGTTCTCTAACTTTAGTTTGCCTCAACCAAATGTTATGAACCTTATACACAATGCTTATTACCATAAAACGCAGATCAGGTTCAAATTTGGGTGGCATCACTTTTACAGTTCTCTAGTTATGTCCCTTTATAGTGTTATATGCAAGTGGGGGCATCATCTGTGTCCCTTAGACACATTCTCCATTTATTTTTGAATAACCTATTACATGCAATTATACAAATTGTAGGTGTTGTACAGTTGTGTTGTAAATTTGTTGTTCATATAGCTGTGCTGTCTTTAGAAAAGTTTATGGGAAGGAACAGCTTCTTAGCTTGTTTTCCACCAATACAGGGGATAAAATAATGTTCTGTCTTTCTAACTATTATCTAATGTAAGTCCTACAATATACCCCCCTGGACCTACCTATGTAATTATTGTTAATTTGTTCTCGTCCTGAACATGACTGAAATATTTACCACTGGACATTAAGCAACCATCAAACAATAAATCCAACAAAGCATTAATGCTATTTGAAGTATGCTTTGTCGTGAAGTATAAATCCATGTATCATATTTTGTCAACATACTGAGACGTCATTGTGCATATCAAACCAAATAATAAATGCACACTCCATAGGAAGGAGCCACTTGAACATCACCATCAAGAAAAGGAAAATTAACAAGAGGAAAGGAATAATTTTCCTGTTTATCTTGATATTTGGTATGAAGATTAACATGGGAAATTCTACAGTCACTGTTGATATTATTAAGACTTGAAATGATTTGGAGCTTGTGTAAGACACCAATCTATTGCTGATGGGTGTTTGTTGACCTACATGTCTTTTTGACATTAAATATTCCAAAACATCCTATTTGAGACTGAAAGAGATTTACAGCTTGTATAGACACCAGACTATTGTTAAAGACATTTATCTCTTGATGTCTTTTGGCTGTTTATGTCATTGGGTTGCTGTCTTGTTGACGAATATCAGATATTTAATTTTATTCACATTTTTGTGTCATCAACAGGAGCTTTTTGTCATTTGATAATCTGTGTGAATTATTTAAGCTAATAACTTCTTTCTTCCTTTAATTAATTCATTTCGCTAGCTCCCATAGACAGCTGTATGACTGTTTTGTCAAGTGAAGTCAATATTAACCACAGGGGTCAATAAAGTGTTGTATAAATAGTTTTATTTGCTACCTCTCACCCTTCGGTGATCGGTTGACCAGTTTATCAACAAATTTGGATACAATCTAGCAACTTGTTGCCTGATCAGTGTAGGCATTAGTGTCGCTGCATCTTTGACAATATGTAATCCCATGAAGGTATTGACTTTATAGAATATGATTAATTATTGTTAAGTGATACATTGTTATGACCGTTCATTGTAAAGCTTTTACAATGTCACTAACAAACAAGATTTATCATATTTTTAGTAAAATCACTTAAGCGGGTTTTATTACATCAGCGTTCATATGTATTGATTTCACAAAATGAAAAGTGATTTAGATTCTATTTTTGTTGCCATTTGAAATATCAATTGCTGACAAATCAAGAAATGAAAATTTTTTAATACGATGCTTTATATGCCAGCGTCACGGAACAGCGTTCTTGATGTTCCCGATCATATCGTTTACTAATTGAAATATATTTTACAAAAGGCCGTGTGTGAGATACATTGATCCGTTATAGATGAGTTTACAGACTTATTTACCATGCATAAAAAGGAAACGCTGGATTTATTCCTTGTTTCTTTTACAAATAAAATTGATGACGCCAAACATTTATCGTCATGAAATAATTATGTAGTGGTTGATTATTGATATATAAGGATATTTATTGAATAGTATTACACAGTTGATCATTTTCTTTTGACTCTTTAAAATTAATTTTTAAAAATTTAGGAAAAGCACTATTGATTGGTTTATATTTTTAATTTTAATCTTGATTAATAATGATATGGAAATAAGAAAAATCACCAAGTTAATCACCCATAGTTCTCTCTACGTAATAAGTAACTTATTTAATCAATATTTATAGCATTTAGATTAAAAGTTTTCTATGTCATGTACATGCTTTCAGAAATTAATTATTCAAAATACGCTATAGTATGAAATTGGAAAAGTATCCATATAAAGCATTTGAGACTGAAATTTGTTTACATCGGTAATTGTCTATGTATCATTCTATGTATAGCTGTATGGTCTGTCTGTCCGCCTTTATATGTAGTGCTAAACATTCAGCATCTTGTCTGGTCCATCTAAAGAGTATTTACTTTACCTGTCGCTCACCTGACTCTAAACCTTACCTTTTGTATCTCACCAGAATCAAAAGGTCATCTGTATCTTACATATTAGTATCTCGCTTCATTGAAAAGGTTAACTTTATAACATATTAATATCTCGACCGACTCCAGGGGTCTTCTGTATCCAAATTATTTTTCAAATTTTCAAATTGATTTGATTGAATTATTTTTTATGGGAGTTACTGTTCTTTTTTATTAGCTCACTGGACCCAAAGGCCAGTGAGCTTTTCTCATCATTTGGCGTGCGTAGTCTGATAACTTCTGTAAAAATCTTCTCCCCTGACACAACTGGACCAAATTTAACTTAACTTGGCCATAATCATCATCAGGGTATTTAGTTTAAAAAATGTGTCCGATGACCCTGTCTGCCAACCAAGATGGCAGACGTGGCTAAAAATAGAACATAGGGGTAAAATGCAAGTTTTGTCTATTATTTTGAGAACCATTATAAATAGAGAAAATCTGACAATGCAAAAATTTTCAGAATGTTGAGCTCTACAAATTTTTTATTGACGTCAAAACTGTCAGGCGACTTCTTATAGGAGTTATTGCCCTTAGATTACAAATTTTATTATTTTTTTTTCTTTTTTGCCTATTATCTTGAAAACTATATAGATAGAGAGAAACTTTAAGTAGCAAAAATGATCAGCAAGACAAGATCTATGAATAAGTATGCATGGTCAAAATCGTCAGTCAACTCTTTATTAGAGTTTTTGCTCTTTGATGACTATTTTACCAATTTTTTTTTGTTTTTGCCTTATATCTTAAAGGTTATAATAGATGGGTAGAAACTTAAATAAGCAAAAATGATCAGCAATCCAGCATCTACAAGGACAAATGGAGAAATTTTTTCGACAGCTCCTTATTGAAGTTATTGCCCTTTTATGATGATTTTTACCAATTTTTTTTTTAGTAGACTGTGACTATTCATAGGAATGAGGATTTTTTTCACCCTCTTTTATGTTTTGAGCAAAAACTAAAGACGATAGAGAGAAACTAAACAGACAAAATGATCAGCAATACAAGATCAACAAAAAAGAGATTTTTGTCATGAATTCTATTCTTGTCTACAATGTTGGAGAGAGTCCATTGTTGAATATGCACATAGACCTAGGTGAGCGA